CTAGTCCAACAAACTTTTTTGGGGAGGACTTGAAGTTCATTAAGTACATAAAACTAAAAAAAAAGGGGAAGATCCTTGACCCTAAATATCTCATTGATCGGTTGGAGAGACAGTTAAGATAATATTACAACAGTGGACAGACAGGAAAAAAAAATAATATCACAACAACTGGTCATGATGATACATGTCTGTAATGGAGCAGGAGGATCTCAAGTTCAAGGCCAGCCTGGGCAACTTCGTGAGTTCAAGGCCACCTGGACTACAGAGTAAGATCCTGTTTCAAACAACAACAACAACAAACCAATAACAACCCAAACCCCGACAAGTTATATACAGTAAGTCCCTGATTTATGAACAGTACAGTTGTGAACTTTCACAGGTGTACTAAGACTCACTTTGGCTTACAAACAAATCCAACTTATGAACAATTTTCTCTGAATAGAACTTGTTCCAAGTCAGGGACTTACTAATTGTCATTGGATGTGCTAAGTGCTACCAAAAGGTACTTATGTACTGCATGTTGGGGGAGTGGAAATACTAATTACCATTGGATATGCTAAATGCTACCACAAGGTACTTCTGTACTGCATGCTGTAGGAGTGGAAATAGAGAGCTATATATTAAGCTTTGGGTGGGAAGTTTTAAAAGGCTACACAAAGAAATGATGCTTGGTCTGACCCTTGAAGTAAGAAAGGGCCAGGGATGGAAAAGAGAGAAAGGCATTTCTGGCAGAGCACATGACATAGGCAAAAGTGCAGAAGGTGGAAATGATTTGGTAGATCCATGGGCCCATGAGAATTCTGTGTGGCTGTAGCCTAGGAAGCAGAAAGAGAGGGGCCTGGAAGACCTGATGGGTCAGATAGCTAAGGAATCTCATCCCATAGGAAAAGCTCTCCAGTAGGGAAATGAAGTGATAAAATCTGTGCCTTAAAAAAATTGTTATTTATGTGATAGCAGCCCAGGAATACATGATAAAGAGTGTGGGTTTGCAGAAAGGTGTGCTCGAAAAGCAGGTAGATTGAGGGGATGTGGATGAAAGAAGCTGTATAGAGGAGTTGAAAGTGCTAGGACCTAATAAGTGATTAGATGTAGAGGGCAATTGGGGTAAGAGGAAGAAAGAAGGAGGAATCAACATTGTGGCTATTACTTAGATGAGTGACTTGGTTTTGCTGCACCTCAGGTTAATTTGTGAAATGGAGGGTAATTGTATCTACTTCAGAAAGGAGATTTAGTTTTAAATGATTTAGTACATGCAAAACAGCACAGGGAATGGCACATAGTGTACACTCAATAGATTTAATAATTATGGTTTATGGTGGATCACTAATGAGCACAGGAAAAACAGAAGGAGCAGAAGTTGGAGAGATCAGGGACAGATTCATGAGTTTCATTTTGGGCACCTTGAATTTGAGGTGACTTCTGACATCTGTGAAGAGATGACTCATTAAACAGTTGGAAATACTGGTTACAAATGAAAGGATTGAGATTTATATGCATTTAAAAATTCTCTGGCAGATAATGTAAATAATTATTAACCTTCAATACGATCTCCTAAGAAAGAAACCTCAATTTCTCATGGCCATATTCACGACACAGAGTTGATCCAGCCTGAACCTAGAGATTTGTGGAGGGCTCTGCCAGCTAGCAAGAATAAACCCATTTCTCTATGAACTGTCAAAGTGTGAGGGTCGGGCCAGGGATTTAGCTCAGTGGTTCCGCTGAGTGCCTCACAAGTGCAAGGTCCCGAGTTCAATCCCCAGTACCAAAAAAAAAAAAATTAATAATCCTTTATCAAAGTGAATTAACATTTTAATGTTTTGAAAAACAAGGACTCCTTACACTTGGATGGGAACTCACTAAAATCGAAATGTATACAGCTATTTATTATTTTAGAAACCAGTAAATAATGCTGTGCAATCCCCCGAATTCTTACTTTTTCTGTTCCTGTTACCATTATGATATTGGAGTGGAAATGTACAATGTTCCTCTCCTTTTCTAACAACTCACAAGAAGTGTGTATGACTTGGATCCCTTATAGGCTAAGAATCCAGCTCCAGCCAGACGCAGAGAGATTTATCCAAGCTTCTCTATTTTATTTTATGGGTTTTTTTTGTATTAAATTCTTTTATTGGTACATTGTAGGTATACAACACAATTACATTTCTCATTGGGAATTGTACCTTTATATAATGCATCTTGGTTCTTATTTTTCCCCATTCCTAGCCCTCCCTTCACACCCTCCACCCTTCCCTATTTACAAAGACTTTATGTGGGAAGGGCAGGGGAAAGGAAAGAAGGGAAAGGAAAAAATGATGAGAAATGGAAAAAATGGAAATACTTTATGTTTTTAACAGTGCCAAGAAGTTTATTTGAAAAGTATACAGTGAAAGGATATGGAGGTAACCATTTATGCAGAGCAAACTTGGGCCGAACAAAGTGAAAAAGAGGGTAAAAGCAAAAATAAAAGTACGCTCCTCCTCTGAGAAATGTGCACAGGCTATCTTGGGAACCCAAGCTAGCAGCTTTCCATGATGGCCAGTCTTCTTTTACGCTGTTCACATCTTGAGGGAGCTCCTGAGAAATTCTACATACGGGGTCCTTGTGTTGTCCTGGGATCTTGGAATTGACGGGTCCCACTCATTTTCCCCAGCTGGCTTTGCCATGCCCTATCTCCTAAATCATTTCCCCCTGAGAGACATAAAAGTTTCTTTAATTTAATGCACAACTCCGACAGGAAAGTTAAGTGGCTATCCAGATGACAACGGAATTAATGTGTAGATGTACTTTGAGCTGCATTGAGTAGTTTAAAAATACTAGTATATTCAATTATTCATTCAAGAGATACTTGTGATGCACCTATTATGTGTCAAGCAGAGTGCCAGTTATGGGCTATACCTGAGGCCAAGTGCCAGGTGCTGTGAATCCACAGGAGGGAAAAGGAGGCAGTGTGGCAGAACGCAAGTGCACCAAGTATTATGTTCAAATCCTATCTTCCCAGCTTTCTGAATGTGCTAAGGGAGTTAGCCCCTAAGCCTAATGCAAACTAAAATTAATTTTCATTTTACAGGGCTGCTGTGTAGACAGTAATGTACAAAGCATCGAGTGCAGCAGTTGGTACAAAATAAGCCCTCAATGAATTGTTATAGGTTCCCCGCCCTCAAGGCTCTCCCTGTCCGTGCTCATCAATGACACCACCCCCTGTCCTCTCCAGCAGGAGATGGGTGTAATTAGTATGGTGTGGTGATAACAGAAGGAACAGACAGTGTATATAACAGAACACGAGAGGCTGCATGACTGGGAACAGTGTGATATATAATATTGATTTAACATAATATCAGCTGGATTTCTGTTGGAAGAAGCTTATTCTGTAAGTTTGGATTAGCATTTTATGAAGGTTTCAGGCTTGTAAGAACAGCTTATAAAAGGGTCCAACACTTTATCATGAGCAGGTATATTCTTGTAGTCACATTTTATTTAACCCCTACACCAACCCTACAACACAGAAACTATTACCTATTCCCATTTTATAGATGTGCCCAAGGTCACATAATTCAGAAACCCACATTTTTAATCACTTGTTAAAATTCTTACTCTTGTCTTTGTTTTGCAAACTTCATTTTACAACCAGTAGAGGCTGTTACTAATTATTCTTGAGAAAAAATATACATGTAAAAGGGAATCCAGGGAAAAGTGAAACAGAAGGAAAAGAACAGATCTAGAAGAAAATATAGCCCAGCCATTTCTTTTCTCCAAGCAGAACCTAAGACCTACTTTGTGATGACATAGCCCAGCCTAGTCAGGATCTTCCTGTTCATGCCAATGTCTAAGGTTATCTGGACAAACCCTTCTCTTGTGTAGTTTAGACTGTTCTATAGATTTAAAAAAATAATATTTTTAACTCACTTCATATTCTTCTTCTAGGGAGTATGAGATGCACCATTTCTCAAGGCCAATGTCTGCAGGCAGGTCTGTCCTGGCTTGCCAGCACTTTCCACTAGAGGGCCCTGTCTGCCCCCAAGACTTCAACTTTGATACATGTTTTACAAAACTGGAACATCTCAGTCTGTTGCAAGATCCCGTTCCATTGAAAAATACTTTGATTTAAAAAGAAATATTGGTCACAATCTAGTTCACCTGCAAAATTGTGAGGAGAAAAATAAGATCACACTCATTTTACAGAAGGAGAAACTGAAAATTGAACCCTAAGGAGAGGAGTGAGTAGTTTATGTCTTCATTAAGTCAGAAGACATTCATGGAAGAGACAAGGGCAGGGTGGTCCTGAGCCCAAAGGCTACCATACGAATTCCAGGGTACTGACTCTATCTTAAGTTTGCTCCTCTGAATGTCTAAAGAGCTCTAGTTTCTGGGGTTTTTTTGGTTTTGTTTTTCTGTTTTTGTTTACAGGGCATTAGGACATTAGCAATTTGACTGAGTGAGCACATTAGGGGGAGGCTGCAGAACAAGGGTATTCAGTTCACCTACAGGGTGAGGAAAGATTTTATTTCATCCTGTTCTGTGTCACTTTGAAACTTCTCTCTCCATCTTTCATGACCAGGTCTGTACCCTCCTTCATGTCTCTCTCCAGGACATGGCCTCCTTATACTGGCTCAGTGCTTCACCTGACTCCTTGGGTGGTCTGTCTAATTCTGCAAAATGCTCTTCCACTCGGGGCACTTCTGAGGCCTACATCCTTGTCTTTAATGTTTGCCGTTCTTTGGTTCCATGATGCTTATTGGCTTCTATTTCTGCTTCTAACACGGTCCTTCTATTTGAGCTGAATGGTCATTTTCAATTCTATTCATCAGCATTTATTTACAACATACAGGATACAAGGCAGTATGTTGGATGGCAGTGTATACAAAGGAAAATAAAGCAATGAATAAAAGCCATGGATCTTGTCCTTAGGTAGTGTATGATGTCCTTAGGTAGTGTATGATTTCTGCTGTTTAAGTCAGAATAGAATGAGTTAGAATGATAGAGAGAACAAAAGGGAAGAAAAAGAGTGCAAAAATAGCTGCGTTTAATTTTAACTGGTGATACACAGGAAAGCTTCATAAGAGGAGCTGTTTGAGGTGGATAGTGAGAGACAGATAAATGGACTAGGGCACAGATTCTGGCAGAGGCACTCAGTTACACATAGGCAAGGGACCCTGGGCCTGTGAGTGGATTTGGGATGCACACCACAGATCTAGGCTTCTATTTTTCATGTGTTCCTCGCTTGGAGACCGTCTGTCTTCCTCCTTCTTCATCCTGATCCTTTCCATCCTTGGAGGGCCAGATTTAGCTCTGCCGACTGTTAGGTCTTTTCTCATCTGCTCCAGTTTATGCCAACTTGCAGTTGTGGTTCAGGACTTAACCACAGTGTTTGTGTTGGAACTGCCTGTCAGCTAGATCAGAAAGGGATTTGTGCTCAACTTATACCTTGGGGCAGTGATAGTGAGTCTTTTAGAGCTTTCAGTGACACAAACAGCCCCATGCACCATGCACGCCACAGGTTTGCCTCCACTGCCCTGGGGCCTTGCAGCTCTACCAATAGTAATTAGTGCTAGAAGAGTCTGTGGATTCATTTATGGGACTTCTACCACATGCAAAAGCTGTCCAGACTGGAATTTAGCTGGGTAGGTTTGCTAACATAAAAGGCAAACATTTCCTCAAATGATCACAAGACTGTCTTGCTCAGTTTTGGGTGATTTCGCCTCATGACTAGGCAGTTTGTCCGTGTGTGTGTGTGTGTGTGTGTGTGTGTGTGTGTGTTTAGGGGTTGGTGGGGGGAGCACACTCAGCCTCAGCTCGAACCTCATGCCTCTCTGATCTGAGCCTTAGGAACTGGTGTGGACCCACTTTCATCTTCTGCATCGTCATTTCTCAAGTTCCCTCTTGCAAATGACTCTGCTTCCTCCAAGGTCTCTTGTTTTGATGGCTGGGTTACACCCAGTTCCCTAAAGTGGCAGAAATATAGTTGCTCAATTCCTTTTGGAGACTGGGAATCCTGAAGATGGCATGTTCTTGTTGAAGCTGCTTGGAATGACACAGAAGGGAAGCTTGGCCAGAAAGAGTATTTTCTAATGTTTCATTTGGAGAGCACCTCTACAAGCCAAGAGCCCAAACTCTGACAGCATCCCACGCAACATGGTCATCTATGTTTTAGCTGGTTGAGTCAGTTGTGTCATGCACGAAGGTTCCTGGGCAAAGGAATGGGGATGGGCTGATACACAGCTCACATTCTGCTCACCACGCCGTGCATGCGAGTGAGTGACAGCATCTGCAAGTTGCTGTAAGGATAGTGGAGGCCATATACCAGGGGTTTTCGAATACGGTGAGTGTGAGCAGAACATCCCAGCTGATGTGCCACAGCATGTTACAGATGTGCAAAATATCGATCCTTTCTTCAACAGCTGCTGCACAAGGTTATCATCTCTAGCCACAAGAATCCTCAGCCATGTGCAGCCTCTGGACATGAGCAACCTTGATGTGCAACCTCCCAGTAAAAGCTGGACGGAGAAGGTCTAGGTTCAGGGTTCCTGATGCTATTTGTGTTTGTAACTCAGTTGAACCCAGTATGCCATAAAACTATTATTTTCTACATATGCTGTGATGTGAAGAAGTTTGGGAAGCACTGTACATGGGAAATTTCCTTGTCATTCATCTAGAAGGGAGCCCATCACAAAGGGCAAGATCCATGTGTCCATCAGGCCACACACCATGCCCAGCAACAGCTTCCGGAAAGAGAATGCTGTCCACCAGCCTAGATCACCATCTCATAGCCTGAAGCCTTGGGAGGTTTGCTGCCCAGTGTATTGGTTTTCTTCATCTGTGCACAAAAGAGAAATGTGACAACTCATTAGCTGAAAGATGTGGTTGAGGAAATCCAGTTCCATAGGAACCCAAGGCAATGTCTTAGACTTCCTTGGTCCTGGGGAAATCTGGGGTAGCAGGGCCTTATCTTTGCTGAATCCTGTACCTCGCTCCAGTCACCCCATTTGGGAGCACCTGGGAATGTCTTAGCCCCAAAAAGAGCAGTAGGAAGGAATGGGGATGTGTGGAGCTAATTTTGATTACAGGCCTGGATAATATCCAGGCTCAACTTACTGCATTCTTGGATCCTATTTGAGTCCTAGTTCTTTCTGTACCCCAATAATTCCACTTTCACCTACACATGGTGACAAATTGCCACTGGCATCTAGTCACTGATAAAGTCTTATAAGCTCTGGTCATTTAGAGTGCTGCATACAACCTTCTCATTGGCTTGAGTAGTCTTGGGTTTAATTACAGACTGATGGATGGGGTATACCAGAATGGTTGGAGCAGATAGGAAAACAAAGATAAAAAGCCGGGCACGGTGGCATAGCCTGTAATCCTAGCACTCTGGGAGGCTGAGGCAGTAGGATTGAAAACTTGAGCCCAGCTTTGGCAACTTAGTGATATTCTGTCTCAAAATTAAAAATAAAAAAGGGTTGGGATGTAGCTCAGTGCAAAGCTCTGATTCAGTCCTCAGTCACACACACACACACACGCACACACAGAGTTACACGCCAGAAAAAACTCACCCCATCAGAGTACTGCACTGTTGAATAAATTGTTTTCAATGACTCGTTCTTGGAGGGTGACACCTGGAAAACACCCATCATATCTTCAATGAGGGAGCTGAGGCCAAATCTTATGAGTTTTCCTTCCTAATTCTGCCCCGCCCATTACCCCTTTCCAGTCCCACTTTTCTAGGTGGCCTGTTCTCCTGCCTCAGATCTGGTTCCATCTAACTTTGCAGAGGATCTGGAGTGGGTGGAGGTGATGAGGAGGGGGTGGCACTTGGGCAGGGCCTTGGGACAAAAGTAACTTCAGGAATGAAGAGCAAAGGTCTGTATGGTTCAGACTAAGTCTTAGGATTTTAGCTTTTTGTGGCTGTATGAATCCAGTATCGCTCTCAGTCTAAGCACAGAGTCTCAGCAGGAAGTTTCCCCCTTCACTCCTTGCTGACTGCAGGGAAGCAAGCTGGTAGAAGCACATGTGATGGTGACCCAGGTGGAGGTGAGGTAAGGAGGGCAAGGAGGTGTGGGAGTGATGCAGAGTTTGTGGAAAGCAAGCTGTTCCTGCTACTGCATCAGGCAGTGTAGTTCAGGGAGCCTCTCCGCCAGGGTTGTCCCTTCTCTGCCAGGGTTGTGACCTGTTCAGCAGGTCAGTGGCTCCATGGCAGCTCTCCTCTTGTACTATGGGCTCTCTTGTTGCTTGATATCTTAAAGAGGGTGCTTCTTAGTCATATGCAAGCTTGAGCCCAGCTTGGGCAATTTAGTGACTAACTGTAGCACTGAGCTACATCCTCATCCCTTTTTTATTTTTTATTTTGAGATAGGGTTTCATCTAACCCATAGCCAGGCCTACATGTAGAAGCTCAGGGCTTCAAACCATGGAGGCTGCCATGGAATGACATTGGTCACATTCCTGTCCTCTTAGAGACTCAACATTATTTCCCTGATATGCTGTTTCCAGGTTAGACACCTTCCCCAGATTTTTGCTGCGGCTGCTTTGTAGGTACTAGAAAGCAGGAGGCAATGGTTACCATGGCTCCCATCCTGGTGGTGGGGTGGGTATCCATGAAGTAGCATCTACTTACCTTGGATTGGGAGATTTCATCATAGATTTTGGCCTCTGCTGGCTGGGTGTCTTTTGAAACCCTGGCATATGTGTATATTATGTTCTCTGAGGCAGCATCTGTCACAGATAAATACAGAATGACAGTGTGTGAAAGGTGGGCAGGTTTTTAGGGACCTAATCTTTTTTATGGTTTGTTTGTTTTATTCTCTGTTTAATTATAACGAGAAATGCTAAACAATTAGTTTTTAAAAACTCTTTTCTGTTTCCAGAATTGCATGTACATATCAGATAGTCCACTTGACATTAGTCAGTTAGTTGCTTGCTTATCTGCTTGCACTTTTGACTGAAAAGATAACATTCATATAAGAAAGTCCGTAGAAGACATGTACAGATCAACATGTACAGAAGACATGTACAGATTAACAAATAGTTAGTTGTAAGATGAATAAAGAAGTGGAATATTGCCCACCATACCAAACAGGCCCTTGCTTCTTGTTAGGAAGGCTAAATTATGCAGCATGTATTCTGCTCAATGCTGTGTTTAGAAGGCAACCTGTGTCGAAGTGTCTTCCCTGTGTCTCCTATCTAGCTATGGCTGGTTCATTTCTTGGCTGTGAACTGTCTGTCCCATAGATACCTTTTTTTGTTTGTTTGTTTTGGTACTGGGGATTGAACTCAGGACCTTGCGCTTGCAAGGCAGGCAAAGTGCCACTGAGCCAAATCCCCGACCCTCCTATAGATACCTTAATTAATTCATTCTGCTGTTTATGGCAATTTGACTCGTGTCCAGTCTTGAGTCATTCAAGAACACTGCCATTTGAAAACTTTGTGTGAGTCTTCTGGCCAGGGTGGCATCACAGTCATGAGGTATGCATAAACTAATCTGTATCCCATCCGTGTCCACTCGAGTCTCCAGCTCCACATATTGGCCAAGTTTTCCGTACTGTCAGTCGTATAAATTTTTGTCTGCCAGTCGTGAATTCCAGTATGTTCTTAAGGGAGACACACACACACACACACACACACACACACACACACACACACACGCACATACACAAATCCTTTATACTCTGCCATCTTTCTTGAAATAGGCAGCACCAGGCATGCAACAGATCAGGACTCTGAGTGAACCTCCAGGAGCAATGATGAGTGCCAGCTAGAGGGGCAACTGAAAGAAGCCGGAAGTCGTGTGGCTTCCGGTCGTGGCCACCATCTTGCTGTGAAACAGCGGGAAAAGATCCTCCCACTCGGGGCCTGCAGAGATGGAGCCTTCCTGTGCTATGGATCCTTTTCAAGAGCGCTTTTCGCCTTATGCTTTTACTGGAAGGTAAAAGCCCGGGGGTCTTCAAGCCCACCTTGGCCCTTCTTCCGGGGGCGAGCCTCTGGGGTCACAGGGGGTAGGCTGTCGGGTTTCTGGATGGCTGGCGTTTCACTGACTGCAGGAGTCACCTGGTCCGTACGAGCGCTGTCACCGGATGCACGACCTGCGCTTTCCGGCAGTGGGACATTCGAGAGACCAAAGCAGCCTCTGCTCCTTGGACCTTTGAGGTGACCTAATCTTATGTTCTTTTTATGATGAAGAAATGAAGTCCGATAGGTTATATGGCTCCCACCCTATTGAGATGGTTGCTTAGATACTTGCACGGTCACTCTCCTTTCCTGAGATCGCTCATGATATAGGAGGTACTGGCTCAGGCTTCATGCACAGCTCACTGGGAATTCTCCTCTACTCTAGAGTCCAAGATAGCTTTCATTTCTTCAGTCTTCCTTAGTGTCTCTTGCCCTTGGTATTGATGGCTTTGTGTGGCAAGTTGACTTTTCGTTTTAGCATTTTAGTTGTTGAACTTGATACTCTCTAATTACGCATTGTGTTGCATTATTCTCCCTCATACTTTATTGGAACTAGCTCAATGTTAAGTGGATAGTAGAGGCTTCACAAATATTCTTGCCTTTTTGATTGATTCACAGAGTGAATAAACATTTATTAAGCTTCTTCTCTGTCAGGCTCCATGTGAGGTCCCAGAGAAGCAAAGACAGGAGAGGTAAGTCTGTATCTTTATAGTTCTTGATGTCATCAGCCCAGGAGGTGGTAAGGTGGTGGGGTAAGCATTGTCATAAGGCTGGAACAAGGGACTTCTCCTCTCTACCTTGGATAAATGACTTCAGTCTCTGGAAGAAAGAAGATGCCTCCCCATATTTTACCTTCTGGGACAATCTTACCTTGCTTTCTTTTCCACAAATGGAATAGTAACACTGAAGGTAGAATGAGAACAACCAAAAATATTACAGCCAGCCCACTCAGCAACCCGGTGTGGCGAGTATGGAAGTCTGTTGCAATGTCTGAAAATAGAAGCTGCAGTGAGTCTTGACTTTCAGAAAACAAGCCCAAGATGCTTGGTAGGTTTGTCCACAGTCAGGACCACTATCAAAATAGGAGAGCCAAAGCTCTTGGGCAAACTGTACTTTCTGGTATTAAATGTCAGAAATGGTACCAGAATCTAGTGTTCTGAGGGCTGCCTCAGAATATCCTGAAAGGCTTAGCATCTTGTAGAAGGCTTTGGCATCTTCCCCAGTGAGATATCTAGGAGGAAATGTTCCCTGGAACCAGGATCAGCAAAAGGGAGGCACATTCCCCTGGAGATAAAGCCAAATTCAGGCCCTGAAGCTCATGAGAGTGATTTCTGAGACTCATCAGGGGAGAGGAGCTTTTATACCTGCACAGAGCTGCTGGGAAGAGATAGAGCTGGAATTGTTGCTGACAGGGTTCCAGGCTGTACATGTGTAATTCAGCCCTTGGTTCCCAGGGGTCTGGATGATTTGAAGGACATTGCCCTCTGTTTCCAGGGAACCCCAGCTGTATGACACATTCTTTTCTTCTTTCTCCACAGAGCATGTCAGTGTGACATTACAGGTACCATTCATAGATGTCATTAAACTCTGAGTAATTTTTGGCCTCCCAAGCCGACCTGCAAAGGAAAAACACATGAACCCATTGTGAGCGTACATCATTTCAGAAATTTTGCAAGATGGTTGTTAAATACAGGTGTCATTAAAAATCAAATTATAAAAACATTAAATAAATTATATTAAAAATGAGGATTAAGCTAGTCATGGTGGCACATGCCTATAATCCCAGCACTCAGGAGGCTGAGGCAGGAGGATCATCATGAGTTCATAGCCAGCCTCACTAGGCTACATAGTGAGTTTAAGGATAGCCTGAACTACATAGTAAGACCCTGTCTCAAAACAAAACAAAGCAAAACAAAACAAACAATGAGGATTAAAAACTCATCACCTTTAAACAATTTTTGACATTGTACTATTGCCTGTGCTCTTGAGGAGATTTATGTCTATTGTATTTGTCCGTTGTAATGACACACAAGTGGGAATGTCCTTCCAACTTTGCATGTCTTAAACTCAGCCATAGAGGAGTGTTTATATTACAGAAATTGGCAAATGTTATAAATTTTGGCTTGATTTATTTGTTGATTTTTGTTGTGACTCAAGAAAGCAATGGAAACTACTAATGAGTATTAAACTTAAAAGGATATCATATCTGTGGCCATTACATTGTGAGCAGCAAACAAAAAATTAAGAAATACTTTACCAGTATTTGAAAACCATTACATACATATACTTTGTAAAGAATTTATTTACATCATTAACAAATGAAGTTTGAATATATATGCCTTTGGGTTTTTTTTTTTGTTTTGTTTTTGGTACCGGGGATCAAACTCGGGTCCTTGCACTTGCAAGGCAGGCAGCAGAACCACTGAGCTAAATCCCTGGCCCAACATGCCTTTGTTAAATCACTTTTTTCTATTAGTTAATCAGTATTGATGTTGAATCTACAATAATTGCAACTGCAAACATAGGTTGGTTAGGAATATACATACATATAGATTATATATATATATATATACACACACATTTATGAGCACACACACAAAGACAGTATCAGTGAGTTGAATATTTATCAGCACACTATTGCATATAAAAATCTGAAATTATTTTTGGTTTTGTTTTCTGGTGTATATATGTATTTTAAAGTAAATATGATTAAAAAGCTATAATCTCATTAATAGTCCATTTAAAATTTTTTTCCAAACAAATCAAAAGGTAAAATATAGAAGTTGTAGAAAAATTATATTGCTATATAGTTAAAATGCCAATAGTACAATAAAAAAAGACTATTGAAAACTTCAGGAGGGAAAAGCCAAGTCACCTAATAAAGGCAAACTTATCAGAAAAACTGCAGATTTCTAAAGAAACCCTAAAGGCTAGGAATACATGGAACAATGTATTTTGATCCCTGAAGGAAAATAAATACCAACTTACAGTACTATATCCAGCAAAGCTATTCTTCAAATCAAAGGAGAAATAAAGTCCTCCCAAGATAAAAGTAAACTAAAGAAACTCATGACCACTAAGTCAGCATTGAAGAAGATATTTAAAAGAATCTTACACAAAAGAAAGACTAGATAAGCTATTATTGAGAATTAGGAATGAATCAACATTAGAAAACAAAATGACAAGAATATGTACCTCTTTATAATAACTCTGAATATAAATGGTTTAAACTCCAATTAAAATATGAAAACTGGCTGGGCATGGTGGTGCACATCTGTAACCCCAGCTCTATGGAGGCTGAGGCAGGACAATTGCTGCAAGTTTGAGGTCAGTCTGGGCTACACAGTGGGTTCAGGGCCAGTCTGAACTACAAAGGGAGACCCTGCCTCAAAAAAACCAACCAAATCCCCCCTGCCCTGCCCTGCAAAAAAAAAAAAGAATGGCAGAAAGAATGGCGGATTGGACTAAAAAACAAGATCCACTTCTGTGTTGTGGGCAGGAAACACATCTCACCAGCCAAGAAATATGCAACTGAAAATGAAAGAATGGGAAACAAAATCCCGCGCAAAGGGAATCCGAAAACAAGGAGTAGCTGTGCTCATATCCAGAAAAGCAGGCTTTGACAGAGTTAGAATGACAAAGAAGGCTACTAAATATTAGTAAATGGAAAAATCTACCAAGAAGAGAACAATTGTAAATATATATGCACTGAGCATCAGTGCACCCAATTTCATAAAACAAACACTACTTGACAAAAAGGGATGCATAGTGGGTGACTTCAGTACTCTACTCTCACTAATTGATAGGTCGTTCAGCTACAGAATCAACAAAGAAATATCAATGTTAAATGACACTATAGATCAAATGACTTAAACAGACATCAACAAAGCATTCCACCCAACAACTACAGAATACACGTACTTTTAAGTGGCTCATAGAATGTTCTCCAAAAAGGTCATATTTTAGACTATAATGAAAGCCTTATTGAATACATAAAAACTGAAATTATTTTTTTCATCTTATCAGATCTCAGGGAATAAAACTAGAAATCAATATCAATAGAAACTATAAACACACAAAGATTAAGCAATTCATTTTTGACTGGTCAGTGGATCATTGAAAAAATGGGAAGTTTTCAAACATTATTTGAATCAAATGACAGTGGGAATACAACATTCGAGATACAGTATAGACAGTTCTAAGAGGGATATTGTAGTGATGAGTGCCTACATTAAAAAAAAAAACAAAACCTTCTCAAATAACCTAATAATGTATCTCAAGCTCTTAGAACAAATCAAAATCAAGCCTAACAGAAGGAAATAATAAAAAAGACTAGATCTGAAATTAATGAAATAGAGACTAAAGACCAATGTACAAGATTTATGAAAGAAAAGGTTGGTTTTTTATTTTTTATTAAAATTTTAAAAGAAGTCTTTGGTACCAGGGATTGAACTCAGGACCTCATGCTTGCCAGGCAGGCTCTGTGCCGCTGAGCTACATCCCTGACAAAGGTTAGTTTTTACAGGATAAATAAGATTGAAAAACTTTAGCCAAACAAACCAAAGGAGAGAAAAAGAAGACTCAGATCAGTATAATTAGACATGAAAAAGGAAATATCATAACAGCCACCACTAAAATCTAGAAGATCATTAGAGAACATTTTGGAAACCTATACTTAAATAAATTGGAGAATCTAGAAGAAATAGATTTCTTCTAAATCTAGACAAAATTTCTAGACACATATGAACTACCAAAGTTGAACCAAGAAGATATAAATTTAAAAAATATGAGAGGTCAATATATTAGAGTAACAAGCAATGAGATTGAAGCAATAGTAAAAAATCTCCTAACAAAAGCCCAGGACCAAATGAGTTGACTATTGAATTTTTGCAGAACATTAAAGAAGGACTAACAGGGAAGAAATGCTTCCAGACTCATTCTATGAGTCCAGTATCACCCTGATATCAAAACCAGAGAAGGATGCAACAAAAAAGAAAACTATAGACCAGTATTCTTGACGAAAATAGATGCAAAAATCCTTAATAAAATACTCAAAAACCTAATCAAGAACACACTAAAAAGATTACATACCACAATCAAATTGGTTTCATTCCAGCGATGCAGTGATGGTTCAACATACACAAATAAATAAATGTAATACACCACATACACAGAATCAAGAATAAAAATCACAGAAAAAGCCTTTGATAAAATTTAGCACCCTTTCATGATACAAGCCCTGAAGAAACTATGTATTGAAGGATAAGTCCCCAATATAATGAAGGCTTTATGTGATAAACCCATAGGCAGCATCATACCTCATGGGGAAAAACAAAACTTTTCCTCTAAAATCAGGAACAAGGCAAGGTTCTCACTCACCACTCCTATTCACTATGGTGCTTGAGATATTAACTACAGCAATTAGGCAAGAGAAAGAAATAAAAGGGATACAAATAGGAAAGGAATAGGTCATTATCTTTATTTATCAATGATATGATCCTATACTTTGAAGACCCTAAACATGAAACCAAAAGAATTTCAGAACTAATAAAGTCAGCAAAGTACAAGGATATAAAATCAACATTAAAGCTTTTTTATATACACTAATAATTAAGTAGCTGAAAAAGAAATCAGGAAAACAATTTCAGTCCCAATAGCTTAAAAAGTTACTTAGGAATTCACCTAATTAAAGAGTTAAAGACTTGTACAATTAAAATTACAGAATAGTGGAGAAATTAAAGAGGATGCTAGAAGAAGGAAAGTCCTCCCTAACAATGCCATATTACTCTAAGTGAAGTACAAATTCAGTGCAATCCTTATCAACATTTCACTGACATTCTTCACAGAACTGGAAAAAACATTCCTAAAATTCATGCAGAAACACAGAACACCCAGAGTAGCCAAAACAATTCTAAGCAGAAAGAACAAGGCTGGAGGCATCATAATACCTGATGTCAAATTTACAGCAAAGCCATAGGACTAGAACAGTAAGGTAGTGGCACAAAAATAGACACATAAGCCAATGAAACAGAGCAGTGGATACAGAATCAAACCTATGCAACTACAGCCATCTGATTGTGGACAAAGATCAAAATCATTGGAGTAAAGATACCCTTATTAGCAAATGGTTTTGGAAAAACTGTAAATCCACATGTAGAAAATTGGAACTAGCTCCTTATCTCTCACTCTGCGCAAAAATCAATTCAAAATGAGCCAAAGACCTAGGTATAAGACCCCAAATTTTGAAACTAAAAGAAGAAAATATAGGGGAAACATTTAAAGTCAGAGGCACAAGCAAAGATTTCCTAAATAAGACTTGAACAGCAAAACAAACAATAGCAAGTGTCAACAAGTGGAATTACGTCAAAGTAAAAAGTTTCTACGCAGCAATAGAGTTGAAAGCAATAGAGTGAAAAGACAGCCTACAGAATGCGAGAAATATTTGCCAGCTAGCTACTCTTCTGACAGAGGATCAAAATCTAGAAAAGAACTAAAAAACTCAACTCAAAACAAAACAAAACTTGACACCAAAAAATCAAATAACACAGTAAATCAATAAACGGACAAATGAATTGAACAGACACTTCTTAAAAGAAGATTTACAAATGGCCAGAAAGTATATTAAAAAAATTCGCATTTTTATCCATTGGGAAAATGCAAATTAGAACTACAATGAGATTCCATCTTAAGCCAGTCAGAATGTCTATCATCAAGAATACAGAAAACGTTCGATCCCCGGAACCAAAAGAAAAAAAAAAATACAGAAAACAAATGCTGGTGAGGATGTAGGGGGAAAAACAAACTCCTTACACATTGCTGGTGGGAATGTAAATTAGTACAGCTGCTGTGGAAATTAGTGTGGAGGTTTCTTTAAAAATAGAACTGCCATGTATCTACCTACAACATTCTTTGGCACATAGTCAAAGGAATTAAAGTCAGCATACTATATAAGGATATCTGCATACCCATATTTTGGGGACATAATTCAAAATAATCAAGATATAGAAATAGCCTAGGGGCCCAACAACAGATGAGTGGACGAAGAAAATGTGATACACACACACACACACACACACACACACACACAATGAAGTATTATTCAGACATAAAGAACAAAACTATGTCATTAACTGGAAAATGGTTGGAACTGGAGATGATCATGTTAAACAAAATAAGCTACTCTGAGAAACAATTAGTGCATGCTTCCTCTTATATGTAAAAAAAAAGATTGCGTGTAAGTAGAAGAAAGACTATTGTTAGACAAGAGGGAGGCATTAAAGGAGAGGAGAGAGCTGTAAGAGAGGGTAATGGGGAGATGGATGTGATCAAAATGTGTTATATGCATGTTTGAAAATTCCACGTTGAAACCTATTATTGTGTAAAATTAATAGGTACTAATAGAAATATATTAAAAATGAAAATTGTATTTAAGTTCTAGTAATGGCTAGATCTGACGCTGCCAAAACGTGGTGTGAGGTGTGTGTGTGTTCCGTCATAGGAGATGAGGACATGATCACAATTCTGAATTCCTGACTTGTGCACAGGCCAAGCTGCTGTGATGTGGTTAGGGGCTTCCACTTGCAGCCCTGTGAGGACAAACATAGAGGAGCCTAAAGGAACTGGCATGAGCTTTCTGATTAATACAGAGTCTAGAAAGGCAGGAAAATCAGGGTAAATCAGGGAAACATTTATTTGATTCTGTATGGGAATAAAACGTGGACAGTAGGGAGCTGTAGAGATTTTTTTTCCAAACCACTGGTCCTGGAAGCCTCTTAGCGAGGTTTGCTTTGGCTTGGAATTAGTGGTAACTTGATAACAAACCTTCTAAATAAGCCTGTAGCAGGCATTTGACATATAACAGATAAGTAGCAGGGCCTATACATAGGAATCAGTGAAAAGGGAACCACATTTTGAGTGTGTGTGTGTGTGTGTGTACGTGTGTACCTATGAGTGTATGTGTCTTTAGAAAGCTGATTTACAAAACTGTCATTGCTTGGTATTTACCTTTTTTAAAGAAAGACATTTTTTATTTTTGTGGGTGTCTAGGTGGGGTATAGTGGTGCAGAATAGAATCATTTTATTTTTCTCAGCAAGACTAGAGATGATACTTGCATAAAGCTGCTGGGCAGAGAAGGTCAGAGTCCCAGCTGACAGATCTTGATCCTCCCAAGCCACGAGTGGGGAACCACAGGAGGCCTGGTTCAGAATCCAGGCTCCCCTCTCCTGGGGTTTCATAGTGGTGGAGACGGGACACAGGTTCTCTGGGCTTTGGCTCCTCATTTATAACACCAGGATAACAATTTCCTCCTCACAGGGATGTTGCAAGTTAAAATGAGGCCATCTATATATAAAGATTATGCTCATACCCATTTGTTCATCTATTTATCTGTGCTCATCTGCACATTAATTATCTACGGAAACCACAAACTGGCCTCAGCCACTGACTCTGAGAAGGGAGAGTTACATTTCATTACATTATCTTTTGTTCTGTTTGTGCTGGTATAGCTTAATATGTATAATCTATATTTTAAAAATTAGGCAGAAGAAATCCAGACATGTAGATGCTGTTCAATAAATGTCAGTTCCTTTCAGTACAGATTTTATTGTGTTGACTATTTGACTTTCTCTAAGACTTCCCAGTGTCTGTCTTAATTGTAGGCTGTGTGTTCCTCCTGGAGATTGAGTAGAAAAGATTAAATATATAAAGGAATGAAAATGAACCTCAATATTTTCTAAGGGTTTATACTTGGGTGTGCTTCGCTGTGGCCAATTTGGAACCTTCTTCATTTGGGAAGTCCTTCCTAACCAGAATTTTTTAAAGGAGCTAATGATTAAAAAGTTAACAATGATTACTAGTTATTAGGCATTTACTTTGAGGCATGCAGTGTACTAGGGATTCAACTACTATTATCTCATTCAATCCCAGCATTATAACCAGAGAGGTTAAATAACTTGCTAAAGATCACACAGCTAGCGAAGTCTAATTCCAACACTAATGCTCTTTCCCCTATGCCTTCCATTGAGATATAACCTAATATAATTATCCAGTATTAACTGAACACTTACAATCACCAGACACTATGGAACCTGGGGATATTATGATTCATTCTTTTTTTTTTTATTCAGCAAATACTTCCTGGGCATCCATTATGTGCCTGACATACAGGTGCTGGGAATACAATGACGAACTTAATATACAATGTCCTTGCCTTTAAGAAACTTTCATTTTAGTACCTGAATTGCATCTATAACAACATGAATTATCCACATTTCTTTGTTTTTGTCTTACATGGGCAGATGGACATTAAAATCCTTGAGAAATAGCCCAGAGGTTCTCTATGTTAGAAAATAACGCTGCCTAAAATAAATATAATGTGAGTCACTTAAGTAATTTAAAATTTTCTAATAACCACATTAAAATAGTGAAAATAAGCAGATAATATGAATTTTAATATAATACATTTTATCTAATCTGTTATATCCAAAATGCCATTTCAACCTGTAACCAATGCAAAGATAATTAATAGGATATTTTACATTCTTTTTAATTTTTCTTTTCTTTCTTTTTTGGTGTTAAGACTTCAAAATTTGGCGTGTATTTTGCACTTACACCATATCTTAATTTGGACTGACCACATTGTGTTTGCTGAGGAGCCACAAATGGCTGGTAGTGATCATATGGGACAGGTTCTAGATTACTGCTTTGCAAACTTTAGCACATGTAAAAATAATCCAGGGACAATGTGGAACACAGATTCCTGGGGTGGATTGGGAGTGGGACCTGAGATTTGCTTTTCCAAACAGCTCACATATCATGCTAATATGGCTAGTCCTTAGGTTGTACTTTTAAAAGTATTTCATAACACGTTCTGGTGAATATAATGATGATAATAAATAGCTACATTTTACCCTTAAAAAGAACTTTGCAATAACTACTAGAGAAACTCAGATTAAAGCTTAAATGAAATATTGCTACACATTCATCAAAATGGTCAAAATTAAAAATACTGAATGCTAGTGAGGGCCTGGAGAAACTAAAGCACACATGCATTTCTTGTGGGTATGTCAAATAGTTTGGCAGTTTCTTTTAAAACTAAAACTGAAAAAAAACCCAACTAAAACTGGATTTACTATCTGATTTCATTCATGGGCATTTATCCCAAGAAATTAAAATTTATCTCATGCAGAAACTTGTACATAAATATTCATAGCAGTTTTATTTATAATAGCTTCAAACAGGAAGTGACAAGTATGTCCTTAAATAGGTGAATGGATAAATGAACTATATCTGCACCATAGGATACTATCCAGCAGTTACAAGTATAAACTATTGACACATGCAATACTTTGGCTGAATCTCAAATTATGAGGAGTAAAAAATCTTAAAAGAATATATTATGTACTACATGATTCCATCTACATAACATTTGTGAAATAACATAATTATAGATATGAATAGATTAGTATTTCTGGGTGAATGAGGGGGAAAAAGGAAATAATGCATGTGGCCATAAAAGAATAGCAAAAAGGAGTCTTGGGATTGTACAGTTAATGATCTTGATTGTAGTAGTATTTATACAGAACTACAGATATGATTAAGCTCTATAAGACTACACACACATGCTCACACATAAATGAGTTCATGAATAACTGGTGAATTTTAATTAAAATCTATAAATTTTCTGTTTTTAATACTGTGTTATAGTTACACAAGATGTTAACACTGGGTAAAGGATACACAGAACCTGGCTTTACATTTCTTTGAACCATATTACACAGCTGTAATTATTTCAAAATGGAAATTGTTTTCTGAAGAAAACCTACTGAATATACACTATCTCATTAGATCTTCACAGTAACTCTGAGAACTGAGAGTATGATTATTGACATTTTATAAAAAAGGAAAACAAGGCTCAGAGGACAGACTGCTGATGGAAGATCACACAATGAACATGTGGCAAGGCCAGGATGATAACAAGACCACATACTCTTGATAGATATCGATGTCCAGGTATTAAAAATACAGGTGTTCTTTAGATAGCAAATTTAGAAGCAAAAGTAGCAAACAGACCCTCTGTCTTCCCACAACTTACGGTAGACATGAAGGTCGTAGTTCTTTGTGGTGGTGGTGGCGGCGGCGGCGGTGGTGATAGTGATGTCCGCCTTGTATTTTCCTGCATCTTCCATCCTCAGGTCACTAATGATCAGGTTGTAGTTCTCTTGTATGACTGTTATTCGTCCATTATAATTATTGTGGGTTACAATAATGTTGGGTGTTTTTCCTGGTGTAATGACAGCAACAGATGATTCAGAAGTCCAAGCAATGGACTTAACTTGCTGTGATTTTTGGATATTTAAGGGAAAAGTAACTGACTCCCCAAGAATCCCATTCAGGAATGAGTCTGCATCCCTTCCAGCTGCTACCAGCCCTGTGGACACAAATAGAAAATTGTGACCATCTGATTGTCACCATTCACAGTTCCTTGTCTTCCCAGCCTGGAGTCTCCCTGAGGAGACTCTCTTCTACAGAGACAGTTCGTCCAATTTCTTGGGGATATTACCCTGCCCCCCTTTTTACAGTCTGCTCTGTATATATTTCATATGTTATGACGACTAAATTTTCTAATGTATTCGCAATAAAAAAAACCCAAGTTTCTCAGTGATTTTCTTTTTTCTTTTTCTTACTTATTTATTTTTGTTAAATTATTTTATTGGTACATTTTAGGTATACAACACAATTACATTTC